ATATATATAAGTATGTACACTCGAAAGGAGAAGCAGTTCCACTCCTTGATCGTGCCTAAATTTGATGCAGATATCAGTGCATTAAAAAGGAAAGGCGCGTGATTCATGAGGATGTCGTACCTTGCACCAGACTGGGCCCGGGCCGGGCAAAGTATCGGTTGCCATTCACCACAAACACGTTGCCATTGACCTTGTCTGTAGTAATAGTGCCAAATGATCAGCGTGAGATACAACGGTCAGCATAGTGGCTTGTACGTACGATGGCACAGATTTTTACCCAGCCCAGAGTGGTAGAGTACGAACCAAAGTGATAGTGACAGTGGCAGTGGTAGTGATGTGATGAGCTTGTTACTGCATTGACTGGAGTGTCGCTAACATGCATTCAGAGCCTGAAGATTCCGAAGGGACCGTCGTAAAAAGCCCGAAACACGCTCCGTGTCGAGTGTTCTACGAATTTACGTTTTGCAAATGCCCCACCACACTATATAGATATGCTAAGGCGTTTCGATTGTCAACGGATTGATCAGTGATCAGGAACGCATATATAATCAAAATCGCAAACGGAAATGACTACTATGTGTGTGTGAGCTGCACGGGTGGTGATCAAATTCAACCAATTCCCTGTCCTACACCATTCACGAAACACTCCTAGGCTGAGCTTGGATGTGCTTGCTAAAACAGTGAGTCGCACATTTCTCTCATAAAACACCTCAATTAAGACGGTACACCGAAACACACGACGACGCGTGTATAGAGATGCGTAACGACCCTTTGGTACTATCATTACGTCCAGCTGGCTAGGTGACTACTTACACTGTACTAAAGAAGCACGGGCTGATTAAACTACATGGTATGCGTAAGCATGACCATTCCGCGATCCAAAAGGTCAGGATAGCCCCCTCCATCACATGTATACACTAGCGAGCAAGTCGAAGACCAGCCCGGATGAGCATAACCTGCCTATAACAAAGCCACCCAGCACACTCAGAATATGCTCGCAAAGATACACACACATGATATATTTAGCAACATACCGTACAGCTTCCTAAACCCAACGGCCGCCTCAGACCCGTTGGCAGGGTTCAACATAGTCCTAACATCCTCTCTGTTGCGAGCAACATCAAACCCGCAACAGGCCACCACCACACAATCAATATCCTTTGCCAGTACGTCTTCCCAACTCCGTTGCTTGCTTTTACCCCCTTCACAGTTATACACAGGCACACACCCCGCAGAGCGTATGAGCTCGTTAATCCAATGACCGCCGTCGAAGATGGGGTCCAGCCATTCACACAGCATCACGCGCGGCTGGATTATACTCGGTGGGGTGTGCTGTGCGATTGTTTGTTGGATCAGTTGGAAGTGGCCCATGAACTCGCTCCTGAGCCTCACCCCCCTGTCCGTCACGCCACAGTCTCTGGCTACCTGGACAAAGGTATCCCCCACCTCACTCACATTATTGGGCTCTAGGTTGACCACTTTTACAGGCTGGGTCATGCCGAGATCACTCTTGAACTTGTCACTCAGCCGCTGACAGGTCTCCACGACGTCCGCATGGGCCGGCGCGCAGACATTGCACAGAGCTTGGGTGAACACCACAGTGGGTTTGGTGATTCGCAGCTTCTCCTCATCGAGCCCATAGAGCGAGAGACCGTCCCGGATGGACTCCTTGACTTTCGCATCAATCTCCCCTTGTGACAGTGCGAATGGGTTGATATCTGATGTGGTCACCCGTTGGATCTGGCCTGCAGCGAGCCAAACATAGTGGAAAGCAATGGAGAATGATATGAATCTGAATCAACGATAACAAGGCGAAAGTAAAATGGTACAGAAGCTACCACCAAATGTAGACTCGATCACATAAGTTTCACAATGGCTGTCGTGCAAATATA